ATGCTACGGCAGCAGGAATGACGGTGGCAACTGTTGAAGCAGTGAATGCCGCAGGTGCGGATGTGGATATATCTGAGTTAGACCAGGCTTCACAGCGGTTTTGCTCTGATTTACTGCAGATAGGAAGTAGTTGTTGTTGAGAAAAACTATTTAATACTTTTTGAACTTTCTCGTCAGCTTCAAGAGTCTTAGCAGCAGCTTTAGATTTTGCGGACTCAGACATCGTACTTTGAGATTCTGGACGATTTCTTCTCCAACCAGGGCAACAGCGAAGGAACGTCTTGTCTTAACAGAATTATTTATATACTTGCTGTAAAATTCCTATTGTTCTTTTCTTTTTTTTTTTAATATTGTACAATATATTACAAGCAACAATTAACGGATATGGATGAAAGTGAGGTGATGTTGTATGTTGATATGTGTTGTGTGTGTTATTCGTAGATATTGATCACCAAACATTTATCAGAGTTCTTGAGAGTGAGAAGAGCGGATTAATTATTTATAAATCTTCCCGGGTCATGGCATCAATTTGTTCAAACGCCGTACAACTTCGCTCAGTCAAATTTGAATTTAGAATTTTTAATATTTTATTTTTCTGAAGAATTTGACAAGTTGAAAAAGTTAAAGAAAGAAAACTAAATAATAATTAGGTCTGAACTAGACCACAAAAAATGTACATAATGATCGAAAATAAAAGTTGGTTACAAGTTAAGTTTTTGTAACTAAAGAAACAATTATCAATAATGGAAATTAAATTACAACAATTATTGTTTTCGTACCGGAAAACAATAACGGTTAATAATTTCGATCCGAACCTTTTCTCTAAATAATTTGTGCGCTTAAAGTACGAAAGTTGAAATATAGGAAGGATGAGAGTGATGGATGTTTTCTATACAAGGAGTACAGCCATTCGGAGTATAGCAACAACCACACTCTCATTTCCATGGAACGCGTACACAAAAAGATCCGAGACTGTATTACAAGTTGTTTCAAGTATTTTTATAGTTACAAGCTCATTGATCCTTACAGACGGATTAAGAGTTCCATGTATTTTCCGCAGTTTTCATGTAACGGGGCCTCCGTGACCGTTACACACACACCCCCTCTCCAAAATAAAGGGACATGCCCTTATACAGATCACAACTTTTTTGCTGGCCTTCTATTGGGGGTCAGTTTTTGGACAATTATTAATTTAAATAATTAACATTTTATTAATTAGTTAATTAATAATCTTAATTATTGCTTTTTAGGTGTTTTTCACTAAAAAAGCTATCATTTTTGCAAAAAAACGTACTATTTATGGTAGAACAAGCGAAATTTCGCAAAAAAACACCAGAAAATTGGTTATATTTCCTTAATTATCACTCGCGAATCGCTGATATTATGTCATGCGTGTAAAAAGTTATTTTTGAACCATATATAAATTTTAACTGAGCCTCACCCAGTTTTAGAACGTTCCGTCGTCCCTGATATTAATCAAAAATAAACAAAACAACTAATCAATCGTCAGGTGAGAAGATAACTATATTTATACACAATAAAACAATTGATAGGAGTGATCCACTTGACTCATTGTTAGTCGAGCTAAATCTCTCTTTCAGAATGTATCGAAGAGAATCTGTGAATAATGTTTGAAATTCTCATTTCTAATTAGATAAGATTCAGTGACAATAGTCTAATTCATTTTTCTCCATTTTCAAAATAAGATTCCGACGCTATTTTTAGTTCAAAAGTAAAAACTCAATTTACGAACACTTTTTCGATGTTGTACGGATAGTTAACTAAACAAATATCTGTACTCACTGAGACGCTTGACAGTGACATCCTTTAAACCCCATATAGTGATGTTGATTTCGCCAAGAGTTATTGGATGAAATGTTGTGACAACCAATATGTACGTAGTATTAACATAAAGAAGAATTACAAATTTAAATTGACCATTAAATCCGCCATCATCATCTTTTCTTGGCAAATTTGCAGATGGATTGAGTGGATCGAAACTATTTTCGTAGATGTATCCGAAAGTATCAATATTACTACTGCTCCATACAGTATAGTAGCGACTTTCAGGCAACTTCACCTCGAAGGAGTCATAGTAAAAGTTGTCTTGGCCACAATCTCGGGAATAGATCGGACTGTTCGCGGTTAATGAGTTTGTCCATTGAACAACTGATGACATATCTACGTAACAAAAAGATCAATCGAATTTCATTATATTTTTGTATATATTTATGGAATTTCCGACGTGATTTCTCTTTCAAATGTATGTTCAGTAGGTATGTAATCGATCGATTACATTTATTTTGCTTAGAAAAGCTTTAAAGATAAGATAAAATAAATCAATAATATCTAACCTTTGTTAACCATTATTAAACAACCCTCTAATATATTTATCTAGTGGTTCAGGATTCTATGACTTTTATTACAATCTATTCCAGTGGCGATTTTATATTGAATTTTAGGAGAAAACTACGATTCAACTCATCATTATTCGACGTGTTCTCAGACAAAGTTATGTTTTGAAAGAAAATATCATCGACTGAAATATTGGCGTCAGAAGAAAAGATTTTATTCGTATCAAATTTATTGGAATACTTTACCACTTCGTTTATGTTTTACGGACATTTTCTACCAATCGTCACTTGCTTATTGTTATGACTTCTCACACTTAGTCTCTATCGACTACAAAAAACTAAAAAACTATGAATATTTTGCAGATAGATGAGGACAAAGATTCTTTTGAGTGATTATTACATCAATTATCTTAAATGAATTATTTGACAAAGTCTTCCCCTATTCTTAGTCAGAATAAAACAATAATTATGGATGGCAATGCAATTATGGTTGAGAATGTAAACATTCTATCTTGAATTTATTCTTATTCATCGTCAATGGATTTGAAAAAATATTTTTTTCTTTATTCTATCGAATTACTTTTACAATTTTTAGCAAAGAAAACTTCTTTAAACAACATGAAGGATCATTTATTGACGAATCAATCTAACAAGAAGTTTATCATTGAAATTATTAACTATTCATCTTTAATTAAATGTTTCGTTTTGAAATATTTACATTCAATCTGAAGATTCCACTATGCATTGTTTCTTTAAAACTTTATTTTTATAAATTCATTTAATTCTTATTTCTTTAGCAAATATTTCTCCTCAAAATAGATCTCATTGAGCTTTCTGTTTCTAATTGAATTTAACTTTTTAATAATTAGATATTCATCGACACAATTTACATCTCTTATTGTATACATTCTCCATTTTCAACTTACCACAAGAATTTTTCAGATATTGAAACTTTTGAATTCGATTATTTCCTGTGTCAGTAACAAACATATTTCCAAAACGATCAAAACTAAGACTAAATGGAGAAGACAATTGAGTGAATTGGAAAACACCTTCGCGACATTCAACAACAAATCGAAAACCACTTGGTCCTAATCGAAGAATTCGATGATTATTTGAATCGACAATAAATAAATATTTCTCAGCATCAAATGTTATCCCAGTCGGACAATTAAGAGGAATTGTGGAACTGAATGATTTATCTCCTGCGACAGTGATGCTATGTGATTTCCGTGAACGAAAGCATTGAACTCGATTATTTCCGCAGTCTGCTACATATAAATCGAACTTTTCATCGACGAAAATTCCGTGAGGATGATTAAGCTCAGTCGAGGCAGATCCTTTATCACCTGTTCCAGTGACGACAGCCAATATCATAATATGATCGTGCAAATATCTTTTCGCAACATGATGATGATTAGACATCGAACAATATAAATTATCCATTGTGTCAATAAAGAGACCCTTGCCTAATGAATAAGCAAACAAAACCGTAACCCAAGTACTGGTATTTGATATCCATTTCTCTACTCGACCATTCTTTTCACCATTATCAATATAAATATCATCATTCGATGTAACGAAAAGAGAAGATGGATTATAAAAATCACTAGGAATGATCACTGCTGGGTCAATATTACCTTCATGCCAAATTAAAATTTGTTTTTTTTCTTTATTAATCGTGTAAACTGAATTTTTTCCATTGATAAAAATAGTGAGATGTTTAGAACCAAGGGCCATTTGATTAGCAAAAGTGATTCCATTGCGATTCCAAACTGGTGTTGAACAAAATTTTGGTTGATTAAATAAATGAGTTAAAAAGGAGAGAAAGAACTGCGATAAATATTATGAATAAGTTAACATTTGATTTATTTTAGAAAAGAAACTTCTCACAAATCAAACGGAACTGAACAAAGATTTCTTTATTCGTTTCAATTTTATGAAATTAGTCGAAAGAAAAACGATTCAAAAGTGGAACTATAATTATCTAAATAATCTCTGTTGTTTCAGAAATCATATATTAACAATGAAATTGACGAAAATCATCGTAAAACTTTGTTAGATTAAATGTTTGATGATTAAGTAAATATTATTTATTTTCATTTCAATGAAAATTCTTTTTTTCTCATAATTAGTCTTTGATTAATACATAGAATAGAGAATATAAGAATAATCCATAAGGACAAATGAATTTAAGAAAAATAAATGTAAGATTATTCATTTTTATCTTTTGAGTTTTTAAAATAAATTCATTTATTCTAATCAAAAGATCGAAAATGAATAGATATTATAAAATATAATTTGTTTTCTATATCATTTTAAAGTTAATTAAATGATCATTTGTTGCGATAGAAAAAAATCTTCTTTCATTTCCGCAATAGAAAAATGATTATTATTAGTATTTTACTGATTTTTACTGATAATAAATATCGATGAATGAAATTAGAAATAAAAGTGTACAAAAACTCACAAAAAAGATTTTAAGGTTAGTTTCCATTCGTCATTGAGTGAAGAAGATCCTATCAATCATATCTTAAGGATGCGGGTGTGGATCGTTATATCATTTCACATTCCCACTCATATCCTCATTTCTCATTTTCATTTTCATATTTCACATCTCTTTATCAAACTTTGAATTTATCAATCCCTTCGAAATTCTTTCTTTTTTATTTAGTTTCGTTTTTCTCTAAATAACTTCTTTGAAAATTATTGCGATTTATTATTCATTCACGTTGCTTATCTTATTCAGCTATTTTCAACTTACCACAAGAATTTTCTAACAGTTGAAACTGTTGAATTCGATGATTCAATTGATCAGTAACAAACATGTTTCCAGAACGATCGAAACTAAGAGTAAATGGGACAGACAATTCATTGGACTGTGAACCTCCTCCATAACATCCAATTAAACATCGAAAACCATTCACTCCTGATCCAACAATGCGATCATTGAAACTATCCACAATGAATAAATATTTCTCATCATCTAACACAATGCCAGTTGGACAACTAAGCGAAATTGTTGGATTTGGCGATTGACTTCCTGCTACTGTGATGCCATTTGAGTTTCCTAACTGAAACAATTGAACTCGATGATTATCACAATCTGCGACATATAAATCCAAGCTCACATCGACAAAGATTCCACGAGGATACGAGAGTTGATTTGAATTAGATCCTTTAATACCAGTTCCAGCAACAATGATCGATGTCATTACAGGATCATTCAACCATGTTTTCACAACTTGATGATGATTACCCATTGAGCAATACAAATTATCAGTGATGTCGACAAAGAGACCATAACATGATGATTTGACATTCATCACAGCAACAAATTCATTTGTAGTTGATATTTATTTCTGCACTTGACTATTGTTCGAAAAATCAGCAATATAAATATCTCCATTGGATGTTACGAAGAGAGAGAGAGGATTTATAAAATTCCCATGATTGATCTTTGTTGGATTGATACTACCTTCCTCCCACATGACAATTTCATTTTCTTCTTGATTAGCGACATAGACTGTGTTGTTTGTGTTGACAAAAATAGCGAGAGGACGTTGACCAACAATCGATTCATTAGCAAAAGTGATTCCCGTGGAATTCCAAGTTACTGTTGGGCAAAACTGTGGTTGATTAAATGAAAGAGCTAAAAAGGAGAGAAAAGAAGAAAGGAAATTGTGAATAAATACAATCGTTAATTTGTTTTTGTTTCGAACAAAACGGAGAAATTGTCTTAAAAGAATAAATTTTTTGATTCGAAAAAAATTCAAAACATTTAAAAATGTTTGTTCAATTGACTTTGAGACGAAATATTAATTTTGACATTATGAATATCTCTTTTCCTAAAATGTTACTTTTGATAATTTGGATAAAAGTTTTTTCTTTTAATTTTTAATGAGAATTTGTGAAAAAGAAAATTTTTCTTTCGAATTTTGTTCGAAAATTTCTTGAAAAGATCTCATTGAATTAAATCCAAAAAAGAATTCGAAGAAAAGAAATTCATTTCTTTTTATGTTAAACATTTTCTTCACATTCTCTAAATTAATTTTTGTCAAATAATACTTTCCTCTGATAAAGCTTTTAAATCAGTTCAGAGAGAAATTAAAGCAAAACGATGAATATCATGATGTGATCTTCGTTGTATTTCTTATAAAGAACATCATTCGATTTCTCTTGATTAATTTCAATAAATACAGAATCGTATCGTCACACTTCTCGGTCACCGGTCAATTGGTCGCAGGTCTTTTCGTCGCGGACACTTCGTCGCGGTCATTCAGTCGCACGGACATTTCGTCGCAGGTCTTTTCGTCGCGGTCATTTAGTCGCCGATCTTTTCGACGCCGATCTTTTCGTCGCGGTCATTTAGTCTTTTCGTCGCGGACAACTCGTCGCACGATTTCTTTTAACATAATTTTTTGTGAAAAGGCTCGCAGCTATAAAAGGGAAATCCGTATGTATACCTTAGAGCGATGTACCGAGATCAAACTCATTTTTCGGTGTCAGAATCGTGATTGCAAAGCTTGAGCAAACAATAGAGTGAAATCGGATTCAGTGGAATTGCTTTACGTTGTCGACGAATAGTTCTCATCAATACGTCACTTTTTGATAAGTCACCAGCCGCATGCAAAGGAAATGCTCGTAGCGCAGAGTGTAGAATGGTACTTGATGCTTCATCAGTAGTAGCCGCTCGAGTTTTGATTTGATTGTTGAGTTCAACAACTGGAAGGTGATCTGGATTTGGTGCATGTGAATGTACAGTGGGTGGTGTCAAAAATAAATCCGTAGCCAGATTTGTATGACAACGCCCTTTAAAATGACAAATACAAGAAGTAAATAAGGTGCCAGTAATTCGACGGCATAAGCTTACCTTTGCAATCACGTTTCTGACACCAAAAAATGAGTTTGATATCGGTACTTCGTTCTAATGTATACGCGTAACCATCATGAAAAATCATGGATTTACCTTTTGTAGTTGAGAGCTTTTGAATATTAGTCATTTGAAAGTTGTGAACGTTAAAAAAAGTAATGAAGAAGTGAACTTCTTCGTCTACATGTAGCCATTTTATCAAGGGGGAAAAAGCATACTTCTGTACTTCTGGTACTTCTCCGTACTTCTTGATACTTCTTCGTACTTCTTCGTACTTTTTTGTACTTCTCCGTACTTCTGAAGTACGAAGTACGAAATACGGGATTTCGTATTTCGTACTTCGTACTTCAGAAGTACGGAGAAGTACAAAAAAGTACGAAGAAGTATCAAGAAGTACGGAGAAGCGCCGAGAAGTACAGAAGTATGCTTTTTCCCCCTTGCATTTTATACAAAAACTATAAAAGGAACATGAAAGAAAATTAAATCAAAGTTATAGTTTATAGTTTATGAGTAGAAACGGTTTTATTATCAATCTGGCATTATTCTTCTAATCAAGATTCATTATTGAATCAAGCATACAGTTTATTAGTGGATATAGAGTGGATTAAAGTATCTATTTCACTTTATTATTTGTCCTTTCCATCTGACGCGATGAATTGTTCCGTGCGACCAAAAAATTATGTTAAAACAAATCGTGCGACAAAAGTGATGCGACTAGATATCCGTGCGACGAAAAGATCGGCGACTAAATATTCGCGACGAGTTGTCCGCGACAAAATGACCGCGACGAAAAGACCTGCGACGAAATGTCCGTGCGACTAAATGACCGCGACGAAGTGTCCGCGGCGATAAGACCTGCGACGAATTGACCTAGCACCACACTTCTCTTCACTATTTAATGAGAAATAAAGAAATTAAAAAATAAAAACAAAATATTTTATTTTTTTTCTCAAAAATTTTTCTTTTTCTCTTCAATCATTTTTTGTCGAAATTCTTCTTTTTAAAGATCTTTTATCTTGAATAACTTCAGTATTCTTCATCTGTTGCGACATTTGGAAGTTCTCAATCTGTTCAGAGAGATAAAATTCTTCTTTAGACTTTCATTTTCTGAATCATTTTAGATAAGATTTGAGAGTGTGGCTGTGGATACAGAAAAGATAAATCTTTACCCAGACCCACATTCTCTTTTATAAATCATTACATTTGATTCCTTCTATCGAATAAAAAACTTTTTCTTTTATCAAAAATCTGTCTTATTGAGAATAAGACGACTGTTAACATTGATAGATGTCACTGACAATGAGAGATAGAATACTCAATCTTAACCATCTAACAGAGATTTATCTTTAACTATTCAATATCTTTCTCAATAATTTGATCTTATGATCAATCACGAGGAAAAAACTAAACATTCAACAGTTTCTCTATGAAAAAAAAAACAATTCCATTTTATTTGATTCTATCAAACCAAAAACTGATCTTGAGATTTAATTCCTTAACTGAGAGACAATGATATTGAATTGAATTTTGAAAAATAGAAAAGAAAAACAAAATCACTTTTTTGAAGTATGACATTTCATTTATCTTCTCTCTCTTCAATTAAATATTCAGAATGAAAAAAGAAATCGCTAATCTCTAATCAATTTAAAAATAAAATAAACTATATAAAAAGATTTTATATCACAATTGCAATGAAAGATGTTTCAACAAATTTCATTTGAAATAAAATGATTTCATTAATCAGATATTCTCGAAGACAAATCAAATAAAACTCAAGAATCTTTCAAATCCTCTCGTTTAAAACAGAAATTATTCTTTTATCTTAACCCTTTACACTCCCTTGGGTCATTTTTGGCCCATTCGTAGAAAGTTTGAGATTCAAAAACTCCTAAGACAATATTTCTAGGGAACTCCATAAGCTATCGATTGGTAGAAAAAAATATTTTATTTCGTTGCTCTGCCTTTGAGATACATGACTTGCAAAATTGATAATTTTGAAAAAATTGTAAAAAACGAAATTTTAAAAACAAAATGTTTTTAAACTCACAGGCAGTAGAGATTTCGGGGTGCGTTGTGTGATCTATATCGACGAAAATGTCTACTATTGAACTAAATTCGTTTCAAAAACTTCACAATAGCTTGGGAAATAAAGAATGGTAAGACACAACATGGATCCTGGAACGACTATTGAACAGGAAGAGGGGGATGACGCATGTTATGCCAGTCGCACGACTGACACAAACATGCCTATATCTCGTCATGCCATCCTGTGACACAATTGTATATATTACATCACTGTTTATATTACATCATGTTTTTCTGTTACGTTCTTTCTTTCTTTCCCGCCTATATATATACACAGGCATATACTGTACGAGGAGAGGTCTTCACTTTTGGAATAGAACATTTATACATACAAGTGAAGACTCGAACAAGTTAGGTGGAGCCTAACAATTGGTGCACTAGCCGGCTTACTGTCAGTCATTAATCTGAATTCATTACATAGACTTCAACTAATACCCCTATATCTTGATGGCGAAGCGAAGAATCGGTGGCGATTAAACAAAGATAGCATTCACTCATGGCCGGAATTTATGGACAGAATCTCGAATGTGTTTAGAAGCTCTGATCAACACTCACTTTCATTTCACAAACTGAATAATTATATACAACGATCCGACGAATCTGTGATTGAATACTATAACACGATGATCAAATTATGTAATCAAACTGAACCGAATATGACTGATACTTCCAAATTAAATTATTTACAAATGGGTTTAAAGCAGTCATTACAAAAAGACGTTTTTCGTCGTCATCCATCAACGGCATCCCAATTCTTTCAAGTAGCACCAGAAGAAGAATCATTACAAACTATTGTTGGTACCCAGGCAGCATTAACTGCTTCGGTTTTCATCGATTCCCTCCAGTCCAAAGCTGAGCCAAAAACGTCTGTATCATCTGTTCAATGTTCACCTCAAAAACCAAGTGCTCGTCCAGTACCATATCATCAGAATTCGTCTGCTACAAAAAAGTTACAATCCTCATGGTGCACATGCTGATCGAACACATACCCCAAAGAAAGCATCTCCACGCTGTTTTGGATGTGGTAAAGCCGGACATTTCATCCGCACTTATATTCAACATCCTCGAAAAAGAGCCTGTTATTGCACAAATCCTTCGTTAATATACATCGGTGTGTTTGTCAATGGGAAAAGAATCCGAGCCCTTGTCGATACTGGTGCTACACATTCATTTATAACTCAAGGAACCCTCGGTAAGCTGCGACACTCGCCAATACACTCATCAAAATCTACCGTACATCTCGCTGATCAAAATACGTCACTTAAAATACTGGGCGAAGTCAAATTAAATATCAGAGTCAATGATGTTACTACACCTATTACTGCATTGGTGGTTAAATCATTAAACGCCGACTTTATTCTAGGTGGAAATTGGTGTTACGACACAGGAGCAAGAATTGAATATGATAAACAACAAGTTTCTATTCAGTCGTATTATGGTCGCTCTTCTATTCCATACGATAAACAAATTGACACTCTGGCATTAGATCTTAAACTGTTGAATTCTGTCTCCATACCTCCTCGAGAGTCCATTGTGGTTCAAGCAAAACTTGATCTTT